TTAGAAAACACTCATCTTGCTCACTCATCTATGATCGACTAATCGAAAGTGCACCACAGAGTTTTTTCTTGTGCTTCACCTGATGCACTGAAACTCTTCAGGTTCATTGGATTCATAATAGTCTGTAGTTTACAAAACGAAATCTCATTAACTATAGCTGCATTTAAACCAGTTTTAAAGTATTCAGTTAAAGTGTGCCAATGAGTGTGCAAATTTCTGAACATACTGCTGAGTATGTTCCCAAATACTTGGAAGTTTCTCACGCAGTGAATACGAACCTGAATGAAGCATTCGCAAGGCACTTGTCTTTATTTTTCCAAAGATGGAAACGAATTGTTGCTGGAACTCTTTGATGGAGTACAGTTGAGTAGTGCTTATTTCAACAAGAAACTTTTTAGGCTATTGAGATGGTAAGGAGTAGGCCTTGAAAGCAGCTAGGCAATGATGATTCAGATACGTCGTAGAGGTTTTTTGTATTTGTTCGACTGCACAAAATTTCATTTTGTTCAATTTCAGCACGCAGCGAAATGGGTTCTCGGATGGAAGAAGAGGGCAAACCACGTTTTGTGAGGCCACTCCGTAACATCTCTGTGAACGAAGGTGAACCAGCTCATTTGGACTGTATTGTAGTCGGATATCCTGAGCCAAAAGTAAGATAACTTGCTCTATGTCAGATATCATTCTATCCGCTGAAATGTTCAAAAAGTGCACTCGATAAATTCATCAATCACTGTAACAAAAACATATATCTCACAATGAGACGCATGCATTCTCCAACAAGCCAAAAGTAGTTCCCTGCATAATGTGAAGAGTTTATAGAAATTGAAGTGAATGAATACTGCTTAATGTGAAGAAGAATATAGAAATTGAAATGAATGAATATTCATAATTTATGTGTGTCATCTGCAAGGTAATAAATTGTCGTTATTCCGTTGAAGCGAGAAATTTACAGCTGCTGATGAGAGAATATGATTTGTTTGCTGACCACCGTCAAATGTCTTCAGCAATGTTTTAGCATAAATTTTCTCTTATTCATCATCCTCGACTTTCAACGCTACCTCCGTTTCGTCACAATAATTTTCAAACTTCTATAAAAATTCTGTCTGTAATGCTCGATCAACGTGAATCTTCTGTTTCATTTTCTGGATATTTTTTGTAATTCCGACTGCGATATGAGGGTATTCAGCTCGTATCTGTTATGAATTGCTTATTAGCTTGCGACTCTATGGATTCATCATAATGAGTGGCCTCATAATTTGTGCAGACATAGCTTGACCAACATCGGAAACGAATATCAGTAGCTGCATTGAAGTCCATTAAGGTTTCTTGAAGTGGAGAGAAATTATGCTTCATTAAAATTGAGTTTTTCATATTCGGTCGTTTCCTCTATTGATTTCTGTTTCAAAAATGTCAATCATTGTCAAAATGTGATAGCTTTTGCACTGAAATTGCTGTCGTATCCATGCAAATATCTCGCGATAAAGTTGTAGTTTTTTTCTCATGTGCCTGTCTGTGTGTGAAAACTTGATTGACATCATTTATGGGTTCAAACATTGCTAATCTACGGCACTACACATGAGTACGAGTGATTATGCAAAAATTCAAGTGGAAACAATTGAGGAATTCGAAAATTCACAACACTCAAACAATGCCCAAGAATCGCTTTTGTTTCAAAACGACCTAAGTGCTTGAATCTTAAACGAATCAGTTTTTGCATTTTCCGAGCCGAAATGTTTTTCATTCAACAAGTGACAATCGATAAATCAATTCTCTGTCTGACCGGCCTCTTTGGAAATCATAAAGTCACACATATAGCATAAGTAAATAACCGAGGAGGACATCTTCGTCGTCAAGTGAACTTCAAAGCATTTCCTCTCCACGTTCCTTGCATCTCGTCTTATGGCATCCTCAATTAAGATTTATCATCAGTCAAGCTGAGACCATATATCCTCTCACATACCTATATTGTATCAGCTTCAAAATCGGTCTTTGATTCCGGAAGTTAGCTATCCCAGGAGTTAGCATCGTAGAGAGTATGCGGCGATATCTTCACTTTTAGTGATGAGATCCACACAACTGAAGAACGAGATCCATCAATATGTCGCTGTGCAAATTTAGACATCAAATTTCTCTGCTCATTTCTCTTCAATTGTCAACTAATTTCCGAGCAAATAGTATTCTCTCCTTAATGTCCTTATTGAACTCGTTAAACCTAATGGTTCATAGATTTTCATGTCGAGTCGAACGAAAGCTTTGTGAACTTTATTTTTATTGATCTTCGCAGTGAGAGTGCTTGAGAGTACAGCATCATAAGCAGTTTCGAACAACACCAATGAAGGTGCATAGATTTTCGAGTATCTCATAGAGTTCTTTCTGGCTTATGTCTTTCTTGAGTCACTATTACTCAGATAACTTTGTATCGCATCTGCTTATAGGTTGTTTGGCACAAAGAAGAAGTGACTGTCAAAGAGTCTGAACGTATCAAATTACGCTTCGAGGGTGATCAGTGCTCACTGGATATCACTGAAACGCAACCATCCGATACTGGATTATATACGGCCAAAGCGTCGAACACGTTCGGTGAGGCGACAAATTTCTGTCGTCTTACCGTATCCTCTCCAATGCGTGCCGCACCTCCGCCGACTCCGCCGAAGCCGAAACCAATATCAATAGCGCCGTCATTTGTGCCGCCTCTTAGTAATCAACATCTTCGAGAGGGACAACGTGCTATGCTCCAGGTTCACTCGCTGCTTATTTCATTAACACACCATCCACGACAAATTTTTGGTCGTTACATCTTTAAGTGCATTAGATTGCTTCATTCAAATTAATAGAACGTATTTCTCAATCAACAATGGCATGAGGTTTTACCTGCCACTATGCAAGTCCAATCACCAATGAGCAAGTATTGAAATGAAGTGCATCATTACTTAACACATCGCCTAATGAAGCACTGGATTGGAGTGCAGTCTTAATGGAAAATCCTCGACGCACTTGAATAGTTGGATCGTTAAAGCGTTCAACGAGTTTTTGTCAATGTAAATTCCCCNATCATTACTTAACACATCGCCTAATGAAGCACTGGATTGGAGTGCAGTCTTAATGGAAAATCCTCGACGCACTTGAATAGTTGGATCGTTAAAGCGTTCAACGAGTTTTTATCAATGTAAATTCCCCAATCCCTCATTGTTTCCTATCATTTCATCGAAACATTTTTATTTCCAATCGTCAGGTTCGCGTACTCGGTGAGCCAGCTCCGCAAGTACATTGGTCCTTCAATGAACGACCAGTGCAGCCGTCATCTATGGATATGAAAATTGTTGAGGACGCTAATGGATGGAGTCGACTGATCATCGAGAGTGTTCGAACTGAGCACTCTGGAATGTACACGATAGTAGCTCAAGTACGAGTTCTTGTTCTTTACTCAACTGCATGCTTATGCCACCTGCACTTTTACGCTCCATTATTCTTAAACTTAAACAGCATTCTGAATTATTCATCAGTTTCGATTTGTGATTCAGCTCACTGAAGTGTTAATAGCTAACTTCGCAAATGTCACTCTCTCAACAATTTCATGCATTCAACCGTTGAAATTATGCATCCATTTTTTATCAGATGTTCTTGA